GCATCGGCAGGCGGACTCTCAACCACTGCGCCACCAGGGAAGCCCCATGTGTCTTTTTGAAATAGGATTTTCTGCGGATATACTCCCAGGAGTGGGATTGCCGGATCATTTGGTAGCTCTAGTTTTAGTTTTTTAAGGAACCTCCATACTGTTCTTCACAGTGGCTCTTAACCAATTTCCATTCTCACCAACAGGGAGGAGTGTTCCCTTTTCTCCACACCCTCTCCAGCATTTATTGTTTGTAGACATTTTGATGATGGCCATTCTGACTGGTGCGATGTGATAGCTCGTTGTCATTTTCATTTGCATTTCTCTGATAATTAGCCAAGTTGAGCGTCTTTTCATGTGCTTTTATTTTTTTTCCCCTTAAACAGTGTGAGTAAAAGTTCTCTCTTGAAATGGGCTTCTGGAAAGTCTTCCCGTTTTTGAATTCTTCTTCGATGACCTACCCCAGGACATTACTTGAGGGCAGGTATCACTTAACGCCCCTCAGGCCTTGTGAACATTAAGTGCCCGGCAGCACCGGGTTTATAGCTGTTGTTACAGGAAGCGGCCACAAGGAGGCAGGATTTCTTCATGCTCCAGTGTGGTGACTCAGGCAACCAGAGCCTTAGGGAAAATTGTGTTCCTGGCTTGTAAATGAGAGGGGAGTGTGCCAGCACAAAGACTCAAGGGCTTCTGCCTCATTCCTTCTTCCCCCTTACCCTGGCAGATGCCAACCCCTGCATAACCACTCTGCTGAGGGTGCTGTCGTCCGTACATGGGGCTACTCTAAGGAAGGAGGCTGGAGGTGGGGACCTTACCACTAGGGGACCTGGTGACCAGGTCCCTTGTCAATGCCCTTTGAGCCCAGAGGGTCCACCATCTTTTGGGTGCAGTAGGCTTGGCTTAGGTATAGGAGGGCCTGCCTGGATCTGGTGATTGTAGTCCCATCTAGAGGGGACGGGGCACTCGGAGTCTGGGCGGGGCTCATTTGTTGGCACATCCTCCCCCCCCCAGCCCCACCCCGGCTCCCTCAGCACCAGCGTACTCCAGCCATGGGACCCAAGGCTGCTCAGGCTCCAGGGATCTGACACCAGCCCAGGTCACTAGGCCTGAGGGTAATAGAGTAGGCATTTCTTTCCTTTTTTTTTTTTTGTTTTGTTTTTCATTTAACTTTTACTTTAAATTGGAGTTGAGTTGATTTACAATGTTGTTTTTGTTTTAGGTGTACAGCAGATTGATTCAGTTGTAGATATCCATATGTCTATTGTTTTTGAATTCTTTCCCCATTTAGGTTATTACAGAGTGCTGAATAGAGTTCCCTGTTCTATATAGTAGGTCCCTGTTGATGATCTATTTTATGTGTGTGTGTGTGTGTGTGTGTGTGTGTGTGTGTGTGTGTGTGTGTATGTTAATGCCAACCTCCTAATTTATCCCCCCTGCCCACCTTTCCCCTTTGGTAACCATAAATGTCTTTTTGAAGTCTGCGAGTCTGTTTCTGTTTTGTCAAGTTGTCATTTGTATCAGTTTTTACATTCCACCTATAAGTGTTATCCTATGATATTTGTCTTTGTCTGACTGTGTTCACTTAGTTTGATCACCTCTACGTCCATCCATTTTGTTGCAGATGGCATTATTTCATTTTTTTAATGGCTGCATCATATTTCATATATATGTACACATCTTCTTTATTGAGCACCTAACGTGAGCCAAGTATTATTGTGTGGAGTTTATATTCTTTATCTCGATGGTATAATAGCTCTGTGCGGTAAGGGGTTATTATTGTCACAATTTTTTCCCCATAAATAAATAAATTAATTAATTACTTATTGTATTTATTTTGCCTGTGTTGGGTCTTCGTTCCTGCACGTGGACTTTCTCTAGTTGCGGCGAGCGGGGCCTACTCCTCGTTGCGGTGCGCAGGCTTCTCACTGCGGTGGCTTCTCTTGCTGCGGAGCACAGGCTTTAGGTGTGCAGGCTTCAATAGTTGTGGCTCGAGGGCTCAGTAGTTGTGGCTTACGGGCCCTAGAGCTCAGACTCAGTAGTTGTGGCACACAGGCTTCGTTGCTCTGGAGCATGTGGGATCTTGCCGTGTCCCCTGCATTGGCAGGCAGATTCTTAACCGCTGCGCCACCAGGGAAGTCCTATTGTCAGAATTTTACGAATGAATACATGGGGGTTTACTGAGAGGTTTGAATTCATATTCAGTGAGTATGTCTCCACGTGTGACCATGGTTGCACACTTTCATTTTTCATCTACCCCTATTGCTGCTTTGTGCCCCACTCTAGGTTCTTGAGGTAGGTATCGCAGGCTTCTCTCTCTTCACTACTCCTGGCCCTGCCACTGAAAGACCTCCTGTGACCTGGCTCCCGTACACGGAGCCTGTGGAAGGGCCAGTAGCAGCCTCTGTCTTCCCTTCCATACTCAGAACTGAAGATCTTACTCAGAGGCCTTACTGGTGAGGAGTCAGGCACTTACAGAAAATAATAGGAACAAAAGACAGAAAAGTTGGGGAAAGCAACTGTAGAATTTATCACGGCCTGGCAATGGGGAAGAAGGCTAGAGAACCATGTTGGCTGGCAACTGATGTTACATAAATGAATATGTATGTGAAGATCTGATCGTTTATGTAGCAGAGCCAACTCTTGAGATAGGCATGTATGACAAGAAGCTGATAGCTGCTTGGACTTGCTAAAAATTGAATTAATTTTAAGCAATACAGTGTTTAGTGAGAAGTGGCTATGCCTCAGTATATTTCCAATGCCAAGAATATGCTGGTACCTAATTAGGCACCTGAGTCTTGTGCCACCCTGTGATAGAATCTGCATTGCATGCCATCTGTGCCAGGAGAACCAACCACCAGTCCAGCAACTGGAATGGAGGAGAAGCCCTCAAATGGACACTATAAGGTGGAGGGTTATTGAGATGATACCTGAGACAGTGTCCTGAGAGCACCATGTTGCTGGATTTGACTTTAATAAAGTTTTTGCTCCGGGCATATTGATACCTCAGAAAAGCCTGTGTAATTATAACAAAATTAGAAGTTTATTTTTTCTTTATTGAGTGTTGTAATACAATGGGAACTGACACAGCAAAATTTGTTAACATTGCTAGAAAGTGGGTTATGTCCTTCTAAATTTCACTGCGTCTACCAACTTGTAAGCAATAGGGATATGGTACACCCAATTTAAGTTTTATATTTTAAAGTACCACTCAGAAATGTTTAACTTAATATGATGATTTGAACACAGACATCCAACTCTCTAATTCCCCATCCTTGTGACTGATCTTGTCCTGAAAAGAATACAAAAGAGAAGAGAACAAATAGCAATATACTACCTTTTGCCTCAATTCTTAAGGACTTTTCTTCATTCTTAAGGACTTGTGTAGATGGATCTGAATTGATCCTGAGGGATGGCTCAAAGCCTTTCCTGAGAAGTTTCTGTTTCTTAGGCAGCAAGTAGAGGAGATTTGAGCAAGGTTTTATTAATGTCCCTGAGTTTGGAGGAGCTAGGAGGGCATACTAAGTGACTGTTGAGGGACCAGATGAGAATGTCAGTATTTGTTGCAATAGCTCAGTAGTAATAGAAGCTCTATTAAACATTAAACAAAGCCAAAGATGGATGGGTCTTCTCTCTGACTATCCTATTCTGAAGAATAGGACAAAGAAGGAAAGTACACACAACATGGCCAGATCACAGGGCTTCTCGGTCAAAGATAAAACTGATAAAGCCAGTACCTGGTGGATTGGCACCATCAAATGTGAGAGACACTCTGTAGGTTCCCCTCAATTCCTGAATTCTGGTCGACCTTCGAATGGAAATGTTGACTTGTATCAAACAGTCCTGGAGCTTACTGTCTGCGGGGAGGACCGCCGCTCACATGGGCAGTGAGCTCATATTGCCATTCACCAAAGAGTCACTTATTCTCTCTGCGGGAGGCTTACTCTTCACACTCGGTTGAAGTCAGGCTTGGCCGTGAGACTTGTTTTGTCCAATGCAAAGTGACCCTGACCCGGCCTCACGCACAGCATCCCGTTCCCTTTGAGTAGAATGCCTCCCCTTCCCGAGTTGCCTACTTAGAGAGCTGCTACTCATCCCAAACAGTCAGCTGGCTCAGAAGCCTTAGCCCACCTATTCAGGCAGGTGTCAAGAGCAGCCTGCTCATTCCTTTATGATAGCTCTAGTCATATTATTCACTTCCACACCTTCTCTCTGCCACCTGGAGCTCCTTGTGGGCAGAGGATAACGTTCTAGTCATCTTTGTCACCCTGGCCCCTTATATGGTTCATGGCACATAGGAGATACTTAATAAATCTTGGATCAAGAAGTGAGTGACTGAAATGATTTCTGCAATCAGTAGTTACAGCATATATTGGACAGTTCAAGTACGTCAACATTCATTTATTTGGCAGGCGTTTATTAAGCTCATTCTTTGTGCCAAGCATCGTGATAGGTGCCAAGATTACATTTGTGAATAAGTTAGTCATGGCATCTGTCCTCATATTGCTTAGGAAACCTACAAGAAGATAGACAGCCATATACAGTAGAAGGCAGGAGTCTGGCAAGAAATACAGTTTCATGAATCCCACCCACACTGAAAGATCAGAGGGCAGAATATAGGAGTGGGGTGGGGGACTTCCCTGGTGGTGCAGTGGTTAAGAATCCGCCTGCCATTGCAGGGGACACGGGTTCGAGCCCTGGTCCAGGAAGATCCCACACGCCACGGAGCAACTAAGTCCGTTCGCCACAACTACTGAGCCTGCACTCTAGAGCCCGCAAGCCACAACTACTGAGCCTGTGTGCCACAACTACTGAAGCCTGCGCGCCTAGAGCCTGTGCTCCACAACAAGAGAGGCCACTGCAGTGAGAAGCCCACGCACCGCAATGAAGAGTAGCCCCCGCTCGCCGCAACTAGAGAAAGCCCGCGCGCAGCAACAAAGACCCAATGCAGCCAAAAATAAATAAATAAATAAATAAATTTTTTTTTTTTAAAAAGGGGGCTTCCCTGGTGGCGCAGTGGTTGAGAGTCCGCCTGCCGATGCAGGGGACACGGGTTCGTGCCCCGGTCCGGGAAGATCCCTCATGCCGTGGAGCGGCTGGGGCCGTGAGCCATGGCCGCTGAGCCTGCGCGTCCGTCCGGAGCCTGTTGCTCCGCAACGGGAGAGGCCACAACAGGGAGAGGCCCGCGTACCACAAAAAAACAACAAGAACAACAAAAAGGAGTGAGGTGGGGTTTGCTCAGGTTAAGGTCTGTACAATGCCTATGGCAAGAGGTTGTTGAATTAATTCCTGTTATGAAGCTAGGAGGCCCTAGAGGCACAGTGGGCTCAGAGCCACAGATCTTCTTGGTGAGGAACAGATTATGGGAACAACTGTACTCATTTTCCTGAATGTGTCTTAGTTCTCTCTCCACCCTTGTGAAGCCAGGACGTAATACAGCAGTTAGGCAAAACCCCAGGCTGAATCAAAGCACAGAACAGCTTCCATATGGAATGTTGGCCACGCAGGGGTGCTATTTACTTCTTCAGATCCTCATTATTTAAAACATTTCTCTTATACTCCTGATTCTGGGACTAACCTAGGTGGTCTCTGTCAAACCCCACCTGCCAGCCCTGAAGTTCAGTGCACGTCCTCATTTTTATGCCTTCTGAGGGGATTTCTGTATGTGACTGGGGAGACCAATTCAGGATACCCATTACTATGCGTTCTTGGAATTCATCCTCAGGTCTTAAATGGTGTGATCAGCTAGACAGTGTCTCCTGACCTTGAGAAGGAGCGATTGGCATGAGGAAGCACGTTGAGCTGATGCTGCCCTTCACTTATTCTCTAGACTGCTGCTTGGTTCCAGGAACAAGGTAAGAGAATCATCATAGCTTTTCTGAGGGCTTGATGAGGCTGGAAGAGAAGACAGCTGTCATTTGATGAGCGCCCATTAGGTATTACGTTCCTTGCGTTCATTGTCTATTTAAAACTTTCTGATAAACTTCACGAGGTAGGCATTATATCCCCATTTTATAGGTGAGGAAACTGAGGCTGGATGGATGCATTATTTGTCCAAGGTTATACAGCACAAAGTGGTGAAATTCAG